GTCAAAGGCTTTCACTAAGTCAAGTTTGAGAGCCATAAAAGAGTTTCTGCCAGAAGAGTGTCTGTTCAAGTAATGGAAAGCCTCTTGTGCAATTATTACATTATCAAAAAGTTGCCTGCAATTATTACATTATCAAAAAGTTGCCTTCCTTGAACAAATGCTGACTGATGATCACTTATGCACTGACTCAGACAAAGTTTAAGCCTTTGGGCAAGAATTTTTGAGACAATTTTGTAAACCACACTACACAGACTTATAGGTCTGAAGTGACTTAAAGATTCAGGGCTGTGGAATTTAGGGATGAGAGACAAGATTCTATCGTTCCAATATTTCAAAAGCATGCCAGATTAGAAGTACCTAAGGATGGCTGCTACAAGATCATTCTGTATGAGAGACCATAAATGCTGATAAAAAAATTGCACTCATACCTTCTTCACCTGGGGCTTTATCTGGGTGAAGAGTGAATAAAGCATCCTTAATCTCCTTAGCATCTAATGGTTTGAGAAGCTCATCATTCTGATCAGAGGTGATTGAAGTAGGAATTAGTGGCAGAAGAGCATCTCCCCCCTGCTACCTTCTGAGGAAAAAAGATTGTTGTAGAACTCTGCAATATGAGCTTCAATGTCCTGCTGGTTGATAAAGACCTAGCCTCTGCTGGAGATAAGACTTGATATTGCATTATGCCTTCTTCTTTGGAGTGTAAGAGCATGAAAAAACCGGGTGTTGGAGTCCCCCTCTTTAAGCCATTTCAATCTAGTTTTTTGCTCCCAGAAGATTTCTTCATACTTATGATCTTTCTCTAGCTCCCTCCTGGTGTTTTCCCAAGTGTCCCATTGATTGCCAGCCTTGTCATGATTCAAGAGTTGAAGTTTGTGAGTCAGATTTGAGATGAGAGCCTGATTCTGAGTTTGAAATTTAGAGCTTCATATGAGCAAGGCAGCTATGACATTTTTTATTTTCTCCTTCAGCTTATAGAAACGTGTGCCTGTGCAATGAATATTCCAAGCTTTCTTAACTGTTTCTTCAAAGCCCTCTCTGCCAATCCATCTTTTATCAAAATGGAATCTTGATTTCCTTCTTTCTCTGGGTAGCCCATAATCCAAGATTAGAGGTGTGTGATCAGAGGCACTCCTGACAGTGTGGGATACAATAGCATTAGAAAAAGCTTGAATCCACTCTAAGGAGCAAAATGCTCTATCAAGATGCTCTTCAACCAGGCCATGAAGGGATCTGTTGTTACACCAAGTGAAGGGGTAGCCCTCCATCTTCAATTATCCCATTTCCATAACATTGATGAACAAGTTAAAGTTGTTGAAACTGCTAGGATTCCTTGGAATGCCTCCACTTTTTTCTTCTGAGGATCTTATCTTGTTTCAGTCCCCAATTGAGAACCACAAATTTCCCCAGTCAGCTTTATCTTCCAAGAACTCCTGCCACTGGTTATATCTGATATCCTTACAAGCATTGAAATATACAAATACATCCCATTGAACATCTGGGAATTATACTTGAATTTAACAGCAATATAGAAAGGTTTACAGATACAATCAAGGATATTGACCTGAGGATCCCAGCAGAGAAGGAGACCTCCACTAAGACCCACAGGATCTACTACTGCTAACCTATCTACATAACCCAACTTCCTGCCTACAGATTTAACAAAAACATTCTGTTTTTTTGTTTCTGAAATAAAGAGAAAAATGGGGTGATGAGTTCTAATTAACTCTCTGATTTGGAAAATTGTAGAGGGCCCACCCAGCCCTCTACAATTCCACACCACAGCTAAAATTTATAACTTGGGTGCCATTCAAGGCTGGCACCCCCACCTTATCTTCAGAAAGAGTTTTTGCTTTTTTAGGAACCAAGTGCCTTCTATATCTTCTGGTTGATTTTGAATGTGCCTGTTCCTTTTACCTTTGGATAGTTGGTCAATGATGAGTGGAACTTCAGAGGTTCTGTGAAGCCTCGCAGCTGCATTTCCATCTCTTTTTCATGTTTTGAGGGCTTGAGTTTTGAGAGCTGTGAGGTTCTCTTGTGATGATTGTATCATTGGAGTGACTACAGATTTTCCTTTCTCATAGTCCATAGTAGAGGATTCGACTATTTGAAGAGGGATTTCTGCAGTGTCCTCAACATTTATGGGGCTTGGAGTTGTAGACACTTGTGAGGTGGTACCCCAAGATTTAGTTGCTTTAGCAGGTGAGTATGTGTCCTCATGACTAGCAACAATTTGATCGTTGTATTCTTGTTGACTAGATGAGGCCTTATAAGAGTTATCTTGAGCAGCAGTTGTAGGGAAATCAGGTGGGTTGGAATATTTTGACTCAGAAAAACTTACATGAGCCCATTTGTAACCATCTGCTGCTTTCATCTAGTCACTAAATTGGCCTTCCTTTAGAACATTATTGCTAACATCCTCCATCTTTTTTGAACAACCTCGATCCAAATCTCCAATTCTACCATAATAGTGGCAGAGATTTATAAGCTTCTCATACTTGAAGCCCACATTAACAAGTTGATCACCCAGTCTCACTTTAGCAGCTATAAGGAGAGGTTCATCTACATCCAAAGTCACTAACAGCCTTAATAGTTTACCCCCATGATTACCTGTTGTTGCAATGACTGTATTCTTGAGGCTATCTTGAAAGCCCTCCCAATTTTGAGACCAACTTCACTACTAAGCCAGTTGAGAGGGATATTCTGCCTGAACCCAAAGAGTGAGTTCTCTGAAACATGGATGATTGCTGTTGATGTTGGTCATCCACTCCTTCAGAATAAGATACTGATTCTCGAAGCTCTAGTTGATTCCAGATGCCACCTTCTTCATATCTTCCTTACTCTGAAAAATGAGTTGAAAATAATTTGGACTGAGCTCCTTGACATCCATCGGTTGGCTGAGTTTCCAAATATGAGACATGGCTCTCCTAATTCCAATACAACTCGCCGGTCTGTCGCCAATTATTCTGCCAAAGAGACTTCTTTGACATTCGTCATCACTCACTTTGATGTCGTCCTGGGCAATATCATAGATGACTTCTTCCTTCTCCGATAATGAGAAGATCTTAAGACGCTCAGAGAGATCATCATCTAAGTTCGATTACTGACGCTGATCCATAAAAAAAACCCTAGAAAAACCCTAGAAAAAACCCCAAAATAGGAAGAGACCGAACAAAAACCCCTCAAAATCGAGATAAGAAAACACAGGGAAAGAAGAAGCACAGAGAACGAACAGGGACGCTAAGAAGGCTCGAAAACATATAGAAACGGGGAAGATGACCGGAAATCTATCGCTCTCAAAGAGAGAATCTATCACTCTCAAAGAGAGAATTTTTCGCCGAACAAAATCCGTGTGGATCTCTAAAAAATTGACAAATTTTTTGGTTTTCAAAATTTAAATCAACTGATATCCCATAAAAATTGATAGAATTTTAGGTTATGAGAAGTCAAATCAATTTAAATTTTCTATCCTTTTTTCTTTTATAACAAAATTTGTTAGCTTTGAACTTTGTGTCAATGATTATCCAATAAGTTAGGTAAATAAAATCAAATCAATTTAGTGTCAATCCTTGATTACATTACCAAATATCTGAAATTTCTATTTTCAATCATATTTTTTTTAAATTCAAATTTATAGGTAGATGGATACATGCACAATCACTATAAAAACACCACATTGGTGTGATCGTTGAACCAAACATCGACATGAAATAATGCATCATACAAAACAAACTTTTGAATTAGTTTTTTCATCCCCATTCAAAATGACTTTGTTTTTTGGAAAAATAAAAAATATAAAAGAACCAATAGGCTACGCAGCATTATAATGTTCCAAGTTCCAATGCAATGAAGACGAGTGTAATTATCGAAACGTTCTTAAGGTTATATTTCAGAAATCTGAGGTAAATTGTCCTTATATTATTTATATGCATCATTTTATGCTAAATTATTTATGATTTTTTAAATTATTGAATATGTACTTTATTAGAGAGGATAAATTATAATCCGACCCGTCAACATTCTACAATTCATCGACAAAATTGAAGAAGGTGACACTTATATCTTTAAGAACTACCAAGTGAAAAGTAATATTGACATCTACAAATCGACAATTTGTACTTGGAGGATCATTATTAACAGTCAAACCAAGTTTCACCAGTGGATGGAAGAATCCATATTGTTTTGTACGTTCTAAATTTTTGTTTATTTTTATTTCAAACTTTTTTTTTATATTTAATTCAAACTAATAAAATCTATTATGACAATTTAATGTGATGACTTGTCTTATATTTATGTAGATTCTATTGGATTGGTTGTTTCTTTACAACCTATTCAAATGAAGATTGTCAAGGGAGTTTCTACCCTAATGACCGTCTTCTCTCTTATGGACTTAAAGGCAAAATCCTTAACATTATATATTCATATTGTTGTTCTATCAGTATATATAATAATTCTCTTGAATATTTTTTTAATATATAAAATTCCTTTTAATTTTTTTTGGATATTGTGTGGGGTAAACAAGAAGAACTATATGCTTTGGGGCCAATATATGTTGACAGAATTGATTGGTTTTGAGCATCATTACCAAAATCAAGAAGAACCTTTTGTCCTCATCATGCAAATGTACCGTGCGAAGGAGTGAGGAGGCATTTCATTAATTTTAATACGATTAAACTCAATGAATAACTCGATATTTTTTTTGTTTTGATCTGCTAATCCAATATATTTTTTAATTAGGTGAAGTTTGAATAACCACATCAAAGGATAACCCTACTCACGAATATTGTACTAGTTAACCATAAAAGGGACGAAAATAACAAAGCTCTGTGCATCGCACGTGTATTATACTAGTTAAGTATTTTTTTTTCCGAAAATAAATGATACTATTGGACATAGGAAAATAGAAAAGATAACGAATAGTATACCGACGGTTCAATTTAATCAAACTTAATGAAAGATACTAAAAAGGCCAAATTTATATATAATTAGCCATAGGTAATACCATGATAGAGGACAACTTTAATGGAAGCAGACAAGAGTTTATCAACGCGCGCTTTGACCCACCCTCTATCATTTTCGAATCTAAGTCCCTCCAACGTTTGACTCTTCACTACTGCAACTTGAGCCACGATGATATTCTTCACAGTAATATGTCGTCATTAATTCATCTCAAAAAACTCCACCTTTCGGACGTTTGTATTACGGGATGAAATTCTTGAGAAGATAATATGTACCTGCCCGTTGATTAAATTGGAGCTTAGTGGATGCGTAGGGTTGAGAGCGATCAGAATCGATAAACGAGCTCGCTATCTCAAGCGATTTGAATGGTCTGGTTCATACGACGTCAATGAGTTGCCGAGTCTTGAAATTGATGTCCCGTCTCTTGAGAAAATCAAGATTAATGACTGCTTGAAACGGTATCACGACAAGAAAATCTATTTTCCGCATCTAAAGTCTTTAAGTCTATCTTCTGTGAGACTCTCTAGAGAGTCATTCTGCTACTTTTCTAATAACTTCCCTTGCCTTGAAAGTCTTTCCTTGAAAAGTTGCTATGGCTTTGAGGAATTTGATTCTTCTAGTCGTTCGATCAAGAGGTATGAGTTGTCTAGCCATATCCTAGTGTGCCGTTGAACAGGGCTACCATTGATGTGCCAAACATAGTCATGTTTAAGTATGAAGGATTTATTCCCGAGTCATTTTATTTCACGACAACTTCTGAAAAGTGGGAATCGGATATAACCCTGTGGACTCGTGATTTGTTCGAAGATAATTCACCAGGGTTGGGCAAAGTAGGTCAACTACTCAGAGCACTAAGCGGATCGGAAATGTCTCTTGATTTTGGGTGGTTCTATCTATCTGCGCATACCGTGTCGTCTTTTATGGACAATCTATTTTGCATTTGTCGTCCTAGAATTATACAACAGACTCTTGTTGTTGGCCCAGACTCTAGATATTTGACCGACCAATGGGGCAACCAGTCAACAAAGGTGATGTGCAAGATCCTGGGGATGGAGAAAGGAAGATTTGAAAGTGGCCGAATAACGAGGGGCCGTCAATGGCGACAAGATCTCGAGAAAGTAATGTTTGAAACTTTTGATGAAAGGGAGGAAAAATGGCATCCTGTCGTGGAGAGAAGTTGGTCAAAATTTTGGGAAGGATTGTTGCCAAAGGATGATTCTGAGAGCGTGGAGCACTACATGCGCTTTCGACTGACCTGGAGAGAATAAATCTGCCATCATATCATTTTATATATAAGCATTTGTGGTTCAGTCCTTTTCTTTTATATACTTATATGCCATCGGCAGCGTTCTGGGCGAAATGAAGACCCCAATTACGAGCATGCACGACTCTGTTTGAAATTGAAACCTTCATTTAGCGGAATAACTGAACATTAATTACTCGATTCAGCACAACATATATGATATGAGTTCTTCAATAGATGTTAAATGTGCTACAAAAGACTGTTATTTCATTTCCGAGTTAGCTAATCTTATACCTCGAAGATTATGCATGGTAATTGAGTTTCTGGTCTCGGTGTCTTTCTGTTTATTGTTGCTTGCCTTTTTAATAAGTATGATTTAGTGTTTGAATATTTTCGCAAACATATCCGCAGTACTGCACTTTGTAAACTGTAATGTAACAATTTTCTCATGTATATACATAGGAGTGATGAATGTCTCACCTTATATAAGATAATAAAATTGGCAAATAATCATTTAAATAATTATGAAATAATATAATTACATCAATGTACAATACAAATTAACTAGGCTGCTCTCTTCACTCAACAACTACTACATAGCATGACCATTCAAAACATGGTTTGTCAAAAATTATTACAAGTATATGTCTTCATACTTTTTATCTTCACCATCACCCTTAGCTCCATACATTCAATGTCGTCGTGGTCTGACGATACAGGCTCTGACGGTATATGTCTTTTTAAGTGCTGTGCTGCCACTCAATGATTGTATTCCTTTTGCATCGATTCGTCTTCAGCTTCAATATTTTTCTCTAAAATCATTTAGCCGTAACTAATACACGTCATAGTGGTGGAAGAAATAATCTGTCGAATAGATAGGAGTCATAAATAAATGAGTTTCAGAAAATGAGGTAAGCTTATAGGAAAGAGGTTCGAACAGAGTTTAAAAGAAGGTAACATACGACAAGTATCGCATATGTAGGAAAATGGAGGAGTTTAAGCTACAACAGCCTCGTCTTTCTTTCAATTCAAGAAATTTCTAGTAGTATCCAACCCCAAAAAATAAAATATACCCACAAAGAGTACTAAATTTGAAGCATATTTTTTCATCCAAGAATGGAAATTTTCGCAGTCCCGATTGATGCTCTGCAAGCTCTACGTGTATGTTTATGAGTACCACATGAAACAGGGGAAGAGGTGCTTACCTAAAGCATCGACCGACCAGAACAAAGCCATGAACTGACTGAACACATCATAAGGCCTCGTTTTCTAACCATGAACTGAATTAATACACCAAAACGAGCATTTTAGCAAGGAACATATACCAAAGGTAAGCAAAAAACTGAGAGTACAAACATGAAATACTTCCTAATGAAGAAATTCACAACGACCAACATAAACACTTTAAAGATTACATCGAGCATGCACACAAGTTAATGGATTCGTCTTTCGAGCCATTGATTCCTAAATCTAAAATATGTGAAGCTCAATAAATCTGTATATCTTATTGGGTAAAAAACCAATATGCTAGATTCTTCATCCGCAAATATATATGCACAACCAAGTAAAACAAGATCCCCATATATTGTTTAAAACTCAAAATTTTAGAAGACATACACTTTACTAAGTATTGGTTATAATATTTGCCGTAAAATTTAAACTTTAGCGTAACTTATTTAGAATTCGAAATGATATATTGTAATAACTTTAATACATGCAATTTATAATTATTCACATGTGCATCGCACGGACCGCGTACTAGTAATATAAAGTATTTGCATACAATAAAATTACGACATATACATTATGGTATTACTTTTTATATGATAAGGAAACCATTTTCAACACATACGGATAAATAAAATTTTGCATAATAATCAATTTAAACACATAAAAATTGTGTACTTAATATAAATATGTTCAAGTCTATGAGTCCACGGTTTATTGTAAAAGAACAATAACTTTAATTTGAATGAATGTGTTTGAAGACAATAATTGAATGAATAATCAAAATATTACAGAAGAAACAAAATAGCAGATGTATTTGACGCCGGCTTAATTTGCAGCATCTACCTATCAGTAAATATTAAATGATATATAATTAGCTATATATGTAAAGACTTTATTGAGATTTGATCAATTGGTGCAATTGTTTGGTTGTTATTTTATTTGTTTGAGAACAAGCAAAAGACTTAAGTATAGGGGAATTGTTTGGTGTGTTTTTGTGCTTATTTTCATGAGTTTTATGTTTTAGTTGAGTCGGTTCTAGGTCGTTTTCTTGTTCAACCGGTTCATTTTAGTTGTTTCGCATGTTTTTTATTTGTATTTGATGTTTTTGTGTTTGTGGCGTAATTATTCGTGTCTTTTGGTGTTTTATAGGTCCGTTTGTTCGAGTTCGAAAGTGGATGAATCAAGTCGAGTCTGGAGCATGCGAGTTGAGAAACCGAGCATATCATCTCCATCCATTTTCCGAGAATATATAGCGCAAATTGTCATGGAGTCTGTGAGCAATTAAAGAGACCCGAGAGATTTCCACCGAGATCCCGTGCATTCACCCGGCATTCCGCCGGGCGATCCAAATTTCACCCGAGGCCACATGAGCACTCGCTCGGCATTTCGCCGGGACGGATACTGGGCGAATCTGCAACCGCCTGTGAAGCTAGCTGATGTAGAACGTGAGTAAGAACGGGATAAAAGATATACTCTCTCTATCGTTAAACCACACAAAAACAGATTTTTATTTCTTAAACATCAATTGGTCGTCTGTTCTCATCCCACAATGGGAATAAATAGAGTCCAAGATTCCTAAATCCCTAACTTGATAAGCAAGTAAATAAATATTTTCCTAATCAACTAATTAAGATAAATAAGGAATAAAGATAATAAATAATAATAATATAACGTGACTAATCAAATCAACGCCGAAAGCCGATCGTATTTGTCTAAAAAATCCAACGCGAGCTCATCTCCATCATCCTCTCCTGGTTGAGAAGGATTCGCCCTCGAAGCAGGACCGAAATCGTGTTCGTCGGAGTCATCGATATGCGAAGGAGCTAACTGTGCCCCGTCCCCAGAAAGAAATAAGGTCGTCAGTGAGGATACCGACAATGAATGAGGAGCTGCAGGATGCAAAACCAAGCGGCACCGTCAAATGGAAGCTCGTACGTGCTAAGGTGCCCATCATGCACCACGGCTTGATCAAACTGTCAAGGACGCCCTAACAAAAGGTGCCACGCATCCATAGGCACAATGTCACACCACACCGTATCCTTATATGAAGAGTCGATAGAGAAAGAAACAAATACACGACGTGTAACAGAGACAGCGTTGTCACGCTCTATCCATGCGAGAGAGTAGGGATCCAGATGAGGCTCACTTACCAACCCCAATTTCCGAACGGCTTCAACCAAAATCACATTCTCGCAGGAGCCAGAATCGATGACGAAACGACACACTCGGCTGTCAATCGTGCAAGTAGACTCAAAAAGGTGTCGCCGCTGACTATCCTCGTCGAACAAAGCACGCGAACCGGTCCCATTTGGACAAGCCACTTGTCGATGGCAAAGCTTTCCGCAGCCGAAGTAACGTATCTCGCCACCAGCCCGCTGTGTACCAACGGTTGGAGTTGGCCCCATGTGGCCGCTTGATCGTGGCAGCCCACTGTTGGCCACAGCTCCGCGCCCCATTGCCCGCGCTGAGCCCGAGTACACGTCTATAGCAAATGATCCACGTCCAAACTGCACACCAACACCCACAGATGCATCCACCCTTGAGGAAGATGCAATGGATGGACCCATCTTCCTAGCCAACTGTTTCTCAACAACAAGAGCTTGTTGATGTGCATCCGAAATAGACTCCGGTACAAATAGATTAAGCACATCTTGGATAGCAATATTCAAACCCCCTACATACTAAGCAACCAACTGGCCCTTCGTCTCACGTATCTCCACACGAGTTAAACGGCGATAAAAGTCCTCTGTATATTCATGAACCAAACGCAGTCCTTGCGGCAAATTATGTAACTGATAATAAACCACATGATTATAATTAAAAGGTAGAAATTCATGTTCTACGTACTTACAGAACTGCTTCCAAGTAGAGATTTATGGATTCCCCTGGCGATGCCGCAAACTCGTGAGTTGCATCCACCATGCTGCCACTCTTCCACGAAATTGTTTGGCGACAAGCACGACACGCATTTCGTTTGGGACCTCCTTAAATTTGAGGACAAACTCAACTGCGGCCCACCAGTCAAGTAACTCCGTTGCATCTGCTCCTCCTGAAAACTCGAGAATCTCGACCCAAAACCCTAATTCCAAATGCGGGTCACCGTGGTTGTCCATCTGTAGGTGAAAATCATGCCGGTACAGCCTCGGGCCTGCATTTTCCCAGTCAAAATCATTCTATTGCTGTTGTCCGTCAGCGTCGAAATCACGTCCAGCACCACCCTGACCCTAGTCGCGACGGTGTACGACACCCTCATTGGGTCCAGTGTCGTCCGTTGCAACCCACCTACATTTGCGTTGCTGTCTTCCGGCGTGGAATCCCAGCCTGCTATCGTCGAGACCCAGTCGCGATGCCGCTGGTCATCTCCACCGATCCAATTGCGGCGGCCCCCACGACTGGTCATCTCCAGTCGTGTTGCATTCGTCCGAGGTCTGCGCCATCACGGCCAAAGCCCCAGGCCCCGCTTTGCTGTTCGTCACCAACGTAATCCTAGTAACCACGCTGCCATCCTCGGCCACCATGTCCGTCGAACCTGCCCTCTTAGTCACGGTGATCCTGCAACTCTGCGAACGGGTTAACCACGTTGATGATGTCCTCATCCTACTCGTCGTCGGGCGGAGGCTGAAGTGAACAGCGGCGGGGTGCCCCGCCATAGCCACGTCCACCACGTCCACCGCGTCCCCCGCGAAACCCTCCGTGCGCGCCCCGGTCGCCGATGTCGCGGTTCGTATGTACCTCTTCCATCATGGTTCGCATAGCCAGACGTACCTCCTCGATCCACGTGGAATGGTCCATGAATCAATCATCCATCCCTTGAATCTGATCGTCCATCCGTTGGAATCGGTCGTCGATGGTAGCATCGGTTGCAGCGTTTCCTTTCTTTGGCGGCATCGCAGGTCGTTGCTGGTCTCTGGATACCAACTGATTTAGAACATGAATAAGAACGAGATAAAAGAGATACTCTGTCATTAAACCACACAAGAACAATTTTTTTATTTTTTAAACATCAATTGATCGTCTGTTCTCATCCCACAATGTGAATAAATAGAGTCCAAATTTCTTAAATCCCTAACTTGATAAGCAAGTAAATATATATTTTCCTAATCAACTAATGAAGATAAATAAGGAATAAATATAATAAAAAATAATTAAGTAATGTGACTAATCAAATCAAAGACGAAAGCCAATCGTATTTGTCCAGAAAATCCAACGCGAGCTCGTCTCCATCACTAGCACTCACCCGGTATTTCGCCGGGCAGAACGTGGGCGAGTGCATTTACTAAATGTGTGTATTTAGTGCATGTTTTTGCTACTTAGTATAAATATATTTTGTCATTTGTATTTGGAACATCTAGATTTCATTTGTTACTTTTCTAATTTTGGAAAATCTCTATAATTATATAGTTTTCTCTCTATTTTCTTTTGGAGCTCTATGACATTATTTTCCAGCGAGTTTTCCGGGGTCTTCGTTTTTCTTCAAGTTGCAAGCTTTTGAATCTGAATCTCGTCTAGCATGCAATAGAAGATTGGATATTTAATTCTATACCTCAATACTTCGTCTTTGCCTCGTTTTTACTATTGATGCTTTTCAAAGTAATTTTGGGTATTTGCTTGATGGAGGATGAAAAGTTTGGATGTTATTGTTTTTATTGCTTGCCTAAGTGATTATAGGGGTTAATTACTTGCTTATCTAAATTAAGAGTTAAAACTTTCATTAAAGCTTAATCGCTTAGGATTAGAAGGTTAGTATTAATTACCTAATGCTTAGGGTTTTCATATTTCTCTTCGTTGTTTGCATTTTGTGCCGATGGCATAGAGAGTCCAATAGTGTTAATTTCCTTATTCTCTTGTTTGCTCGTTTCTTTCAGTCGATCTTGATTCTTAGTTTGGCTTAGTATTAATTCAACCTCAATCTCATCGATTATAATGTTTAGAATTTATTTTCTCGTTTTGTTATGTTTTGTACAATTGATTAGTGAACAAAGTTCTAAATAGTGTGCCTTTGAGAACGACCCGAGGTCAGGTAGCTCGGTTACCATTTATCCCACAAAATACTACTAAACAACCTTGCTACAAAATTTGGATGTGATGAATAATAAAAATATTTTGATGTGTCAGTAGAACAATATATTACCATACATGTACTACATATGTTAGAGTTTTACCTACCAACGGTAGTCACTCAAAACTAGGCTTGTGGTACAATTGACTATTTTTAATTGAATTTGTTATTCAATATTGATAATTCGAAGTGCAATTTGTGAGAAAGTGGAAAAAAATATCTGATGTATTATCCACAAGGACATATACACATATATATATAGATACATAGAAGGGCCTTAGCCGCCTAAGATGACCTAAACCTAACTTATTGTACAAGAAATCTTTTAACATAACTAACACCCCCCTCAAACTCAAGGTGGTATAGTGGAGATCAACTTGAGTTTGCTAAGAAGTAAACAAAAGCGACCGGGAAGGAGAGACTTCGTGAAGACATCCGCTGTTTGATCTGCAGAGGAGACGGAAACAAGCTTCACAGTCCCAAGTGCAACATGCTGTCGAATGAAGTGACAATCAATCTCAATATGCTTGGTACGCTCATGAAAGGTATCATTATGAGACATCTTTATAGCTCTCTGACTATCACAATGTAAAGCAGTAGACGCTGACTGAGGTGCACCAAGATCTGTAAGTAGTCGACGCAGCCATAATAACTATGAGGTGGAATCAGCAAGAGCACGATACTCAGACTCAGCACTCGATCTGGAAACCAATGTTTGCTTCTTACTGCACCAAGAGACAAGTGAATCACCCAGAAAGAAGTAGTACCCAGTAATAGAATGACGATCAGTAGGATCTCCAGCCCAATCTGCATCGAGATAACCGCTAAGCGTCAAAGAAGAATGGGCCGAGAAGTGTAAACCATGCAATAAAGTGCCCTTCACATAGCGAAGGATGTGCAACACAGCAGAATGATGCGTGGTTCACGGAGCAGCCATAAACTGACTCACAATATGAACAGCATGAGCTATATCAGGCCGAGTGACAGTCAAGTATATCAAACTCCCAACAAGCTGACGATATAACGTAGGATCCTCAAGAAGAGAGCCATCAAGTGGAGTAAGACGAACATCATAATCAAGAGGTGTGGAAGCTGCCTGACAATCAGTGAGACCGGCTCGAGCAAGAAGATCAGAGGCATACTTGGCTTGAGACAAATAGAATCCATCAGATGGATCAGATATCTCAAGACCCAAAAAATAGCGGAGCTGGCCCAAACTCTTCATCTCAAAATGCTGACGAAGATAATCCTGCAAATTGGAAATACCGGTAATATCATCCCCCGTGATGATCATATAGTCAACATAGAGTAGCAAAATAATGATCCCGGAGGAGGAGCGCCGAAGAAATAAAGCAGAATCGTGATCACTCGTAGTGAAACCAAACTGAAACAATGCAGAACTTAACGTGGCATACCAAGCACGAGGCGCTTGTTTCAAGCCATACAAAGCTCGACGTAGACGACAAACTTTCCCAGATGACAATGATCCAGGAGGAGGAGTCATGTAAACCTCCTCAGACAAGGCACCATGTAAGAAGGCATTCTTGACATCTAACTGTAGAAGAGACCAACGACGAACAGCAGCAACTGCAAGTAAGCACCGGACAGTAGTAAGACGAGCAACCGGTGCAAAGGTCTCTTCATAATCTATGCCATACTCCTGTGAGTAACCCTTAGCAACCAAACGAGCTTTGTAGCGCTCAATAGATCCATTTGAATTTGTCTTGATCTTATACACCCACTTGCATCCGATGGGAGTCTTGCCAGGAGGTAAATCCACCAAATCCCAAGTATGAGTCTTTTCTAAGGCCTGTAATTCCTCATTCATAGCTTGTTGCCACAATGGATAAGCATTCGCCTCACGAAAAGACCTAGGCTCATGATGAGAGAGAATGGCCGAATAACAATGATAGTCAAGTAAGTGAGAAGGGGGACGACTTACACGGGTTGATCGTCTGTGAGCAATGGTGGGCGAAGGGACAAAATCAGAAGAAGACTCAACAGGAACCGTCGGTTCAGGATGCGCAGGTGGAGCCACTCCAGAAGACGGAGGCATGACAGGCGTGTCAATGAGCTGTGAGTCAGGACAAGTATCTGGAAAGAGATCCGAAGTAGTGGACATGAAGAAAGGGGACGACGAATCAAAGGGAATGTGAAATTTAGACAAGAAAGAAAAAGTAGTATGCTCCCAAAAAGTAACATGACGCGAAATACGCAACCGATTAGCAATAGGATCCCAACACCTAAACCCTTTGTGTTCTACCCCATAACCCAAAAAACAACACAGACGAGCCCGAGGTTCTAATTTAGTCCGCTCATGAGATAGGAGAAGAACAAAACAAACACAACCAAAAGGGCGTAACTGAGTATAATGAGGTGACTGACCGTACAACCTCTCAAAAGGACTGATATCTCGAAGAACCAAAGAGGGTAATCGATTGATAGCATAAATAGCAGTCGAGGCTGCCTCACCCCAGAAACGATCAGGACACTGAGCAGAAAGGAGAAGAGCACGAATAGTATCAAGAATATGACGATGCTTGCGTTCAGCCCGTCCATTTTTTTGAGAAGTATAAGGACATGAACGTTGAACTACTGTGCCCTGATCAGAAAGAAATTGTAAAAAGGTAGAATCTTTGTACTCAAGGGCATTGTCAGTACGCAATACTTT